AGGCAAATGAAGCCGCGATTTAAATGATCGCGGCTTCATTTACATTTACATGGCTGCCACGCTGAGCCGACAAACAGCTGATCAGCTGTTTGTCCGCTCAGCGCGCTAGTCTGGACACTCCCCTGCCGACATCAAAGCCCTTTGTTGGCAGCCCCGGTAAACCTCGTCCACGAGGAATAACGGGGCTGCCGACAAAGGGCTTTGATGTCGGCAGGGAGCGTCCAGACTAGCGCGCTGAGCGGACAAACAGCTGATCAGCTGTTTGCCGGCTCAGCGCGGCAGCCATGTAAATGTAAATGAAGCCGCGATCATTTAAATCGTGGCTTCATTTGCCTTTGCCTATGTGTCTAATCTACATGCCTCTGACGACAGAGGCATGTAGTCTAGACACAGCCTTATTGACAAGATCAGCATTGAGCAGCATTACCAGGAAGCTTCATAAAGTTCCTGCATTTGCTCTGAATGTCTGAATGATATTGATTGCTCTGCTACTGGTACTTTCATCTCAATTGCTGCGGCCAGTTCACAATCTATCACCTTTATTGGACCTGAAAATTGTCCCATTAAGAGCAATGGGATTTCTGGTGGATTAAGGAATTACTCAAAATAAGGAGGGTATAATCTGACTGTGAGCATCCAAGATCTGAACAAAAAAGTATGTTGATGAATCATGTATTCCAACTACGGAATTACATAGGTACTTGTTCCAAGCTAGACATTATCAAATGCAGACTGAGATCAACCATGGTGGGTCAGAATGAACATAGTCATTTGGTTTAATAAGGAGATTATTAAAGTAAAGATTATCACACTTGGCTCTGTTCTTGCTCACAGTACTGTAAGTGTACTGACTTCAGTAAAGCTACTTGGAGTGTGTGTGTGTGTGTGTGTGTGTGTGTGTGTGTGTGTGTGTGTGTGTGTGTGTATCAATACAGAAGAACAAAATCTGATGAAAATGGCATTATTACACATGTGCTACACACACATCTGTGTATATTTCCTTGTTTTTTATGCCACCTTTCACACTGGTATCCAACTGTTGGCACTTAATGTATTAAGTATTCAAAATTATGGTCACACTTTCAAAGGGATTAAGAACACGGTCACAGCACAAGTTGCTCTGCTAACGTGTTGTGTATGTTTCTTATGAAAAATAGCAAGTAGTCTCTTGGCAGATTCGTTTATTTGAGGTGGGCTTTCCTTCACGTACAATGGGTGGTGGTGGTGATGGTGAAGACTGTTAAACAATGTGACAGATACAGATTGAAGATTTTTTTAAATGGGTGCCGATTTGTTCACCAACCTTAGATAAATGCATAGTCCCATAGGGTCTGATCCTGGAAATCAACATAAATGTTCTGACTGATTTCAGTGGGCTTTAGGTTAAGCCTGTTAAAGCCTGAACCAAGGAGAACCTCTGCTCCAATTGTCTTTGCAGGGCAAATCACTACTTCTCAATGTTTCTCCAGCATTAAAAGGCATTAGCAAAACAACATCTGACACTGTGTTCCTATGCTTACATTGTGCATTCCCCACGATCCCTTCCCTTTGGAATGAAACACTTAATTGCTTTTGTTTCACTGGGATTTAGGTTGTCAAAATGCACACACACAACACAACAGCCAATGAGAGCAATCGGCATGGGGTTTCAATCAACGTGTACTGCATGTTCATGGTCAAACCTGAATTAAAAACAATAAAGTACAGTGCTGAACGCCTGCTACCCACACACATTTTCCCTAAGATTCTCCACTCAACACTTTTACCTACAGGGCATACTAGAGTGTTGTGTGTGTGTTGAGGTCTGTAAGAAGATGTCATTCAACATAAATACTATGAGGACGTAGTTCTTTTCCTAGCTAAGAGCTGATTAATGAATACTTCAGTATAGGTTGTTTAAAATAACCCTAAATTAGTAGAAAAGAAGTTACTGTGGCCACCTTAGGCTTCCAGGTAACTTTTATTACATCTTTTTTGAGTATTTTGTAATTAGTTTGTACATTTGACATGTCTCTGCTCAGACTGCTTGCGCCTATGTAGAAAACAATTACAACTAGGAGACTGAGGTTTTTAGATACATACACAGCTGAGAATTGTGCACCATGTCTTTTCTGCAAAAATTACTAGTGAATCCTGCAGAAATAGACCAAAGATTTCAAAGTGAAATGGACCCTTAAAATGAAAGTCTTGGCCAGGCTGGTGGAGTGCTGGAAATGGAACCTGTGTCAAGTGCAATAGCTACTGGTTCGTTGAGCTGTCACTCTGAATCCACTAGATTCTTATAACCTAAGGAAAAAAGCAAAGCCAAACATGCACTCAACATGCACAAAAAACACACCCAACTTGCTGTTATTGTGCAATGACACAGAAGGGCTAATGCAGCTGATTTTGCAGGGTTCTTTTTAACTGCTTCACATCACTGTTGGTAATCTTTCAAAGAGATGTCAGAATCTCCCCTATAGGCCTCCTCCGCCAGTCTCCACTCCCAATTCTCCAGAGTTATGAATCAGCACTTGTCTAGTTCTTTATGCTTGTATATTCCAGTATTTTAAAACTGCAGCTCCTTTGTCTCCTACCAGGAAGCCTGGGCTGAGGCATGAGAGTGATGCTAATGATTGGGCCAGCATCTAACATTTATTAATAAACAAGAACAATGCAGCTATTATGTAATTTCAAAACATTGCCAAATCGCAACAAAGCTTGTGAGGCTGGCTGTGCGTAATATTTCAAATGGTTGAAGGCTGTCAGCTAGATTCTTTTCTTCAGTAGGCTGTGTGTGCCCTCTTCAGGCGTATTGGTGAAACATGTACAGATGCTGCTAGTGGGAGTTAGCATTCCCTATATACTTGGACTATGTCTACACTACAGAGCCCTCAGTGGCAAAGCTGTACCCACTGCAGCTGCACTCCTGTAAGGTCTCCCATTGTAGCCATTCCATGTAAATAGGAGAGCGCGCTCTCCTGCTCCCAGTGATCAGAAGTAGCTTTGTGAGTGAGAGAGTCTCTTGCTGAGAGAGCTGTCCCCACCAGCGTGTTGGTTGGTGAAATGTATGTCGCTCATGAGGGTGCTTGGGTGGTCCTATGAGGGAGGCACCACTCCATAGGGTGGGGCTGTGCTCAGGGATGTGGGGGCAGGTCAAGCTGTGGGCAGGATGATGGGGAGCCTGCAGACTGAGTAGCACAGCTGGCTGGAGCTGCAGGTTGGGGGGCGGAGCAGGTGGAAGGAGTGCTACAACTGGCTGGAGCTGCACACTCACTGGTGGGGTGTGTGCGTGAAGGATTGGGGCTGGGAGACCAGGAGCAAGGATTTGGGTCCAATGGGACTGGAAATCAGGGCAGGGGACTGAGGGATCAGGAAGTGAAGCAGGGGGCAGGGGCTGGGAGATTGGGGCTGCTGGGGCCAGTGGTGGCCCCAGGTGCATACAGGGAATTTAGTGGTGCCCTATGGCACTGAGTGTGCTGTGTATGCCTAAAGGATGACCTGGGGGTGCTTATTTCATATTCCTGACTGACAGATGTTTTACTGACAAAAGTGCTAATGTGCCTCCAGCCTCAGTAATGTATTGGCCCCACAAACCGCTGTATGGGCACCAGAGCTGGCTCGAGCCATTCTTGCACCCCAGGAACCAGGGTGCTGGTGCCCTATGGCACTGAGTGTGCTGTGTATGCCTAAAGGATGACCTGGGGGTGCTTATTTCATATTCCTGACTGACAGATGTTTTACTGACAAAAGTGCTAATGTGCCTCCAGCCTCAGTAATGTATTGGCCCCACAAACCGCTGTATGGGCACCAGAGCTGGCTCGAGCCATTCTTGCACCCCAGGAACCAGGGTGCGACGCATGTGCTGCCCCGTCCCTGGCGAACGTGCTGCCC